ATTCTCGGAAGGGGNNAAGGGGAGGGGTGGGGGGGGAGGGGGGTCCTTTTGATTCAAAACTAGGATACACGGGCCTCATACATGCCCTGGGGTTTCCTGAAGTGTAGGGGCTAATTTAGTCACCCTACCTTTCGAAATGATTAAATTAAATTGTAGGTGAACCTTACTTGGGGTTTTCATTCTAAAAAAACGAAAGGAAACAAAAAGACTACAGCGAGAGAGAGAAAATCCACAAATCCTATTAAAGGGTTTAAAGGATCATACTTCTTAAACCAATCGGTCCTGCTATCATGTCAGATTATTGAATAATATAAGTGGTATAATCCCTTTAAGTGGGATATTATCGTAATATTATTCTAGGGAGTGGGATTTAGAAATCGTGCCCCTGGTACACGTCACCACCATAACTTCTGGTCTAAAACTTGCTGTTACTCTGGCAAGGTGCTGACACTCTGGTAAGTTTTTGACACAATGGTAAGTTGCTGACACTCTGGTAAGTTTCTGACACTCTGGTAAGTTGCTGACACTCTGGTAAGTTTCTGACACTATGGCAAGTTGCTGACACTCTGGCAAGTTGCTGACACTCTGGTAAGTTGATGACACTATGGTAAGTTGATGACACTATGACAAGTTGATGACACTATGACAAGTTTGTGACACTCTGGTAAGTTGCTGACACTCTGGTAAGTTGCTGACACTCTGGTAAGTTGCTGACACTCTGGTAAGTTGCTGACACTCTGGTAAGTTTGTGACACTCTGGTAAGTTGCTGACACTCTGGTAAGTTTGTGACACTCTGGTAAGTTGCTGACACTCTGGTAAGTTGCTGACACTCTGGTAAGTTGCTGACACTAAGGTAAGTTTGTGACACTCTGGTAAGTTGATGACACTCTGGTAAGTTGCTGACACTCTGGTAAGTTGATGACACTCTGGTAAGTTGATGACACTTTGGTAAGTTGCTGACATTCTGGTAAGTTTCTGACACTCTGGTAAGTTTCTGACACTCTGGTAAGTTGCTGACACTCTGGTAAGTTCATGACACTAAGGTAAGTTTCTGACACTCTGGTAAGTTGCTGACACTCTGGTAAGTTCATGACACTAAGGTAAGTTTCTGACACTCTGGTAAGTTCATGACACTAAGGTAAGTTTCTGACACTAAGGTAAGTTTCATGACACTATGGTAAGTTAACTTCTGGTCTAAAACTTGCCGACACTCTGGCAGGTTTCTGGCAAGACAAGATTCTGACACTATGACAGGTTTTTGCCACTTCGGCAAAGTTTTGACAATTGGCAAGATTTCTCCTATTGCATTCGAAATGTGACGCTGTTGCTTGGTTAAGATTTCCCCTATATTGTGAGCCATATTAGACACTGTTGTTATAGCAAGTTTTCCCCCTATTTGACACACCAGTGTTAACAAGTCTTCTCCTTATTTTGCGCCCTGTTTGTTGCCAAGTTTCCACCCATCGCAGGATACTACTGTTTTGGCTACATTTCCCTAAAAAAAAAAGTAGTGGTCAAAGGGAAATAACTACGTGTAGTATTACTTCAGTCAGACCACAGTTAACTAGTTATAGCGCGGAATACTTCATATAAATCATATTTTCACTTTTTTCCCCTATTTCTTCGAAAGTGTCGCATGTAGTTTTAAAAAAAAACTGGATAACATAAGTTGCTTGCAGTGCTATGTATGTTGATGAAAGTATTAATGCCTTAAAAAGGTTATTTATAGGATAAGAGTAGTTACTGGTCAAGGGGAAACAACTACATTTAATTTTACTTCAGTGAGACCACAGTTAACTTAGTTATAGCGCGGAATACTACAAACAAATCATATTTTCACATTTTATTGTTAATTTTTCTATTTCTTCTTATGTATTGCATCTAGTTTGTTAATTTTGAAAAAGAAATTACTTGAACTTAGAAAATTCGGCCTTTGTTCAGGAGTCATATTAGTCATTAAGTGGGCGTGGTTAATAATTTGATTGATGGTTGTAACAAGAGGGTGGGGATATCTTTTTTATGTTTGTAGTATTTTTCATGGGCATTTGTTTTTATGGTGTATGTTGAAGATGTGTGCGTGCATAGTGTATAGAATTATATACAAATACAATATGATTAATGATATACTCTTACCTTCAATTTTTCTTCATACCTTGTGGTCTCGAACTCGTATAGCTGGACAGCGATGGCGGACGAACTCTTTAACCGATTGAGCCATCGCACTTGACTGAAAGCTGCCAGTCGAATTACAGGTTATATGGATTTATTGTATAGATGAAGAGGTTATAAAAAGTGGACTGGTAGTTCTAAAAGACTGGATAACAGCGTCTCCTCGGGTTAGGTCAACTGGTGAACACATTGCATGTGCTTTTTGCGATAGCTCAGTCGGTTAGACTGTTGTTCTCTCTATCTGTATTTTGGTCGTGGGTTCGAATCCCAGGGTGAGAATTGAATTGAAAGGAATTTTTATTTATAAAACTACATCTTCTGGTGGTTCAAGACGATCACCAGCCCATCACAAAATTAAAATTAGGTCGATTTTCGGTTGGAAAAATTCTGTTCTCTTTGGAAAGAGGTCTGAATCTCAAGATAAACTCGTTATTCCGACCTCTTTCCAAAGCAACAGAATGGTAATAGTCCAGGTTTGGGCCCTTGTTAAACGCATCGCATGTATCTCGACGTGGTGGGCGAGTGGTCAGAGCGGTGGCGTATATGCTTTTACGATGCGATGGTCGAGGGTTCGATCCCCGGTAGAGGCCGTCTGTATTTTTCTCGTCGTATTTCCCTCATGGGCAATAGTTAGGTATGTAAAATAATATCTTGAAGTGTCAAGACTGGATAGCTCCGGTGGATAGAGCGCTGGTCCGACGAGCGAGAGGACGAGGGTTCGATTCCCACGATGACAAAACTCCCAGTGTATTTTTATATTATTTAAAACCTAGGGGTTACAGTTATATAGGGTAAATATTCCGCTTAAATCGTCAGACCGGATGGCTGAGTGGTAGAGCGTCAGTCTGGCAAGGATAAAACGTGGGTTCGAATCTCTTGATGAGCATTGCTTCGTTATAATGCTGGACGATGAAGTAGGTCTAATTTTACACTATTTAAAACTTAAGGTTACAGTTATAATGGATAAAAATTCAAAATTTGTGTTCGACTGGATGGCTCAGTGGTAGAGCGTCGGGAGAACACGGTTGTAATAACGGCATCCATAGTATGGACTAACATCCTCTAGAAACTTAGGTGGGTTCGAACCCCACGGGGAAATCTAGTTGTGAAAGATTTTCCATAGTGGGCACTCAAAACCACTAGAATCTGCTTTGGACGTAAAAAATACTTTAAAACCGAAAGTTGGGTTTGAGTGAGAATCGAACCCGGGTCGTTTGAATGATAGAAAAATGTAGGGAGGGATGAACAACTCTACGACCACGGCCAAAATAGGTGGGATTTAAACAGGTGTTCGTAAGTAATATTTAAAGTTCAAAGTCACAGCCTAGTATAGTAGTAAAATAGTAAGTATCTTCCACTCTCCTTTTAGAATCTTGGAGGGTCCCGGGCACCTGTTTGCCCCTCGGCTCCCCTCCTTGTCTCTCGTTCTTCTGCTTTGCCCCTCGTTCTATCTATTGGTAGTGTCTTGCCTGCGGCAGGCCCAACGTGTCAACTGACATCTTACCTCTAGAGAACTCAGGTCTCTCATATTAGAATGAGAGAGAGAGAACATGAGACAGTGACTAAAAGCCTCTGGAGATTTACCTGGGCTCGAACCCTCGCCGTCGAAACAGAGTTCTAGCCCAAGTCCACCATCCATCCATCTAGGCCATAGAGACCCGTTACCAAACCACGAAATTTAAGCTCTTTTAAATGATTTTGAAGATTTAAGAAGATCAAAATATTTTTTTTATCGTTGGCCTCAACGAGATTCGATCCAGGTTCGTCATGGTCTCAGGCTGCTGCTCTAACCACAGGGCTACGGCGGACACAACAAACTTCGAGAAATTAGCCTTTATATATGTAAACTTTTTTGTGAAATTGTCAAAATTTTATATTTACACTTGCCCCAGTCGAGAATCGAACCCGTGCCTTAGGTTTCATGGACTGGATACTTTATCCACTGTGCTACGGAGACGACGAGATAGTTCCTCTAATTTATCTATATAGCTCTAGTAGCAGAGAGTAAAGTTAATACAAAAATATACAGGTTTGCTCTCACCGGGATTCGAACCCGGGATCCTGGACTTCGCGGCCGGCCTCTCTATCCACTGAGCCACAGCGACGAACAAATGACAGTTTTATTTGGCCATGTAGTTCTAATCTTTATTAAATATTCAATAAAAATATTCTCGTCCTGGGATTCGAACCCTCGACCTTAATATCAGTTTGTAGACCGGCTGTCGAGTCGACTGAGCCACTGTGACATGCACGTGCTTCTAACTTACAACTTGACCCAACCTGAGTGAGCTTGGTTTTTCTAAATATTAAAAAAAAAATCTTTTAGCGGGAATCGAACCCACAACCGTTATATCATATAAAAGGCGTCCATCAATCTAACTAATTAAGCTATGGTGAGATGCACGTACGACCTACTTTTTAGTTAACACAGACATGGTACCCTGTAATTCTTAGCGTTATATCGGCTTTACTTTCCATATAGACTTAAAATCTTCACAAACCTTCAGCCAAGTGCGATGGCTCAATCGGTTAACGTGTTCGTTCATCAAAGAATATTGCGCTGCGGGTTCGAGCCCACAAGAAGCCGAAAAAGGTAACAAGGTAAGTTAAATTTAAAATATTCTGCAAATTAATCATTGCACACGCACACACTTAAAAATATATTCTGTTATAATTATAATCATGCTAAAAAAAACAATCGCGCGAACCAAAAAAAATTAAATAAAACATAAAAAACCTCCGAAAATAATATCATACAATTAACGCGTTTTGCTTTTTTTTAGTCTTTCAATATCCCAAAAAAATAACGTTGGAAAATCTGTGTTTAATGTAAAAAAAAAGAATTTCCGTCAAAGCACAAGTAAATTCCTACATGATTTCCAAGTAGAATGATATTTCACCTTAAACTCGCTGTATTTATCGTACCACAGCATGAAATGCACGTGCGGGTTATTAGGACACTGTTAATATTCATCATTTGATGTGAATTCTCCTTACAACATTCTTGGCAGCATTCCAAATACTTAGTCAGACAGCTTGTGCGTTAGCGTGTTTGTTTAAGTATTCACACGAGAGAATGTGACAAGTGACGTCATAGTCCCGCCTCCAGAAAAACTGTCCAATTGACTTATAGCACGACCCGTCAATCACATATGTCGGCATGTACCACAGAAGACTCGATAAAGCTCAATGGCTTCTGTTTGGTTAATTACGGTGATATTATTTTCATCTCTTTGAGGGGCTTCATAGTCAATAACAGGTGCGTAAATCTCCCAGCCCTTTCTTATAATCAAAACACAAGCGCAAAAAAAAAAAAAAAAAATACGAGAGGATTTTAGCGGGGATTGAACCCGCACCTCCACGCATACATTACCAACAATTCTGTCTATACAAAGCCCATTAGAGGTCGAACACTAAAACCACTCGGCCACCCTGATCATTAGCAGAATGTTAGTAATAATGATATTTAGAGTTCATTGAACGTCCATATTCAATTTCGCCCATCATCCCGTTCCCTTCCAAAGTGAATCATATTTTTTTAATAGATTGTCGGCCATGTTTGTGGTTTGGGTTTTTTATTGATTAAAACATGATCTCAAAGCGGCGTGGAATTTAAAAAAAAAAATTCTCCTCCCGGGATTCGAACCCAAGTCCATTACTATATCCAGGTGAACTACAGTTTAACCGACTGAGCTACAGTGAAAAGCACGTGCAAAGTGTTCACCAGTTGACCTAACCAGAGGAGACGCTGATAACCAGTCTCTCGGATCTAACGGTCGTTCAATTGAGAGTCTAAAATGCCGAGTCTTTATGTACAAAGGATGGGCGTTTGTCCACAACAAATAATGCTTCGGACACACCCAGTCAATCTTAGAGACCTTTGAATTGCCGTAAATGTGTGAAATATAAACTATTTGCGTTATTTCACTTCCGACTAGTTAACTGTAGTCTGTCTGAAGCAATATTAATAGTAGTTATGTCCCTTTAACCAATTTCGCTTACTTCCTTTCAGTGTTCACATCCAGTTAATTGTAGTCTGTCTGAAGCCATATTAACAACAGTTGTCTCCCTTTAACCATTCCCACCTTACTCTTTACAGCTAGTTAACTGTAGTCTGACAAAACTATTTGAGGCTCCGACCCATAGCCAGACTTGCATGTTCGGGGTGAAGGTGGCACAGGGTAGTAATCCATTTCAACCCCTCTCCCCCTGTAGGCTACGAAAGGCCTGTTGAGGGTGTTGAAGGACACCTCTTCTTTAATTTTATAAGGCCAGACCACAGGACTATATTACTGTGACCAATTTAACTTGGGGCAATATGACTGACTGAGATGAATAGGGGTGATATACACCCACATTAGAGTTAAAACAGCTAAATAAAGTAGTTAACGATGTACTGTATTTCACATTTAGATACACACAAATATTGTCAATTCTGTATCCATGGAAAATGAAATGAAATGAGAGAGGTTTTCTAAAAAATTTATGTGCAACTGATAGCATTTGAACCATTCTAATTTTCAATCAGATGTCTGTGGTTCCTGCAATTCCACTGAAACTAAGTGTTTGATGACGTCACTAATCGTAAAATATCCTTTATCACATAAGGCCCTTCGCGATTGGTGACATCATCAAACACTTACATTACAATCCAATCAAAGCACTGCATTCTGTGATACAAAAGAGTTGACTATTGCAGTCAAGGTATAAGAAGAAGTTTGTAATAGCTTGACAGTGAAGGTGGTTCACAGGAGTTGAAAAGTCTTTAAATTTTCACCAGTTCTGCATTAAATGATCACACATAATCCTTCTAAGTTGAATCAACCAACAAGTTCACAAAGAGCTAGGTTGGTAAAATGATAATAAAAATTGTTTTTTATTATGCTGCCTTTTAAAAATGATGATTCGATTCCAGCACCATTTTTACATCACATCATATCCAGCTGAAAAAAAAAACCAAAATTTTTTCTAAGTCATTTACGATTTCTATAGAGATGCCAGATATCTGATTTTAATACCTGTATCATCTTCACAATGTCCAACTATAATGAAATGAATGGAGTTTTACATCCTACTTTTCTGCAAAATGTGAGCTATTGAAGACTGGCAATGCCATGCAGTGTACAATGAGGGAAATTTTGCCAGGACAACGGCAATAGCCTATTTCCAACTGTCGAGGGATCTTTAACGTACACAGCCTGTAGCACACAGGGCCTCGGTTTATTGTCCCATCCGAACAACTAGACACTTTTTCCATGTCAGGCCCTCGTACCTGCATCACTGACAGGATGAAACCGGGTTGAAAAATCCCAAGGTATTATCTCGACCTATGCCAGGATTGAAACCTGGACCTTCAGGTTAGCCACCACGGCTCCTGTCAAGCTATCAAGTACATTGTCTTATATCTTGACTGCAATAATCACCTTACTTGTATCACAGAATGCAGCGATTTGATTGGATAGTATGCAAGCGAATACAGCCAATCAGTGCCCTTGATAGAAAGACTGTAAACTTTATGGATTATTGTTTACAGAATTTCTCTCTGGACTCTGATTGGCTGTATTCGCTAACGTACAATCCAATCAAATTGTTGAATTTACAAAATGCCTTGATACAAGAAAGGTGGCTATTGCAGTCAAGGTATTAGACGCAGTTCCTTATAGCTTGAACTTTTGAACAATACCAAGCAAGCAACAGACAGCCAGTGTCAGAAAGACAGAAAGAAACAACTATATTTTACAAGGATAACAACTTAGGTTCACAGTTAAGGATCTTATCTACCAGCTGGTCCTTAGCCAAACCTCTTGGTATTGATTTCATAAGGATAACAACTTAGGTTCACAATTAAGGATCCTTTCTACCAGCTGGTCCTTGGCCAAACCTCTTGGTATTGATTTCATAAGGATAACAACTTAGGTTCACAATTAAGGATCCTTTCTACCAGCTGGTCCTTGACTAAGCCTCTTGGTATTGATCTTTTCCAGATTATCTGTACCCATTTACAGCTGGGTTGACTGGAATTATGAGTGAAGAAGACTTATTCAAGGTCATTGGACTTTTGCACGCTGATCGAGATCGGAACCCACAGCCGCCATTTGCATGACTCTCTAACCAACTGTGCTATAGAACCCCGCTACCAAGTGAAGAAGAAATAGAATATGGCAGGGAAGATCTTACCAAATCATCAGCATCATCAGCTTCTTCTATCTTCTGGGATCCCTCCTTCTTCACATCATCAGCTAGTAAAGCATCAGCTTCTTCCTTACTTACTTTACTGCCTTCACACTCCAGTTTGGAGATTAACCCCTGTTTGTCTGCAATTAAATTAGTTTCAAAGGATGAAGTAGTGTATATATTTGTTCTTCCTGATCAAGGAATTCAATTTTGAACATCTGTATCACTCTTCAGATTGAAAATCAGACATTAACTTCATGAGCAACTGCCCACAATTCGTATTTTCATTTTGAAAAGTGATACACATGGCTCTTCTTATACTCTATCAGCTGATAGAAATGAAATGAATGGAGTTTTACGTCCTACTTTTCTGCACCATGTGGGCTAATGAAGATAGGCAATGCCAAGCAGTGTACAATGAGGGAAATTTTGCCAGGATAGCTTACTCTTTTTGATTACCAACTGTCGACAACCAGCATGCAGCTGACTAAAATGGATGACAATCACTTGGTTTCCTGGACACTTACCTAAAACAATTTGGTCCCAGAAATCACGTTTAGCTTTACTAATCAACGTTTCTTTAAATTGTCGAATAAATTTATTATAAACATCTGGTTTCGAATTCTGAAAAGATAATGTGAATTTCTGTTAGTGAATGTGGCCAATTTCATGTTCACCAACCAACCAATTCTGTCATATTCTAACTTAGTCAAGGGCAATAACTCAAACATCAATCAACGTAAAATTTCAAAAGTTGAACATAAAGGGACAGATGCCTCATTTTCTTTTACAAATCGTACCTTAGTCTCAGAAATGGGAATTTTTTAACTAAGCCAATCAGTAATAGTGTTCATAGCTCACTGTCAAAATTTGAGCCTTCAATTCCATGTGTGTCTAGAATTATCCACGTTTGAAAGTTAAAAAGATGAGTCATCTTTTCTTGAGACACTGTGATATATAGAAAAGACATCTATAGAAATCGTGACTAAAATTCCTAGTTTGAGATATTTTTAAAGGAATTATGTGATTTCCGTACATTTCTAATACTTCTGAAGACTATTTACATATATTCAAGACACAAATCAACCGCCGAAAATGGCGCACCTGTCTCTTTAAAGTCTATATTAGAAACTGACCAATCAAGCGACCCCAGAAATAATCACTCACTTTAATACACTCTTCTCGGTAAGCTTTCAGACAATCACTAGCTTTACCATAAAACTGAGGACCAAACGAGTCCATCACTATCTTTTCTATTGTCTTCTCCATTTGTTCACACGCTTAAAATAAATAACAAAATGAAATGAATGGAGTTTTACATCCTACATTTCTGTACCATGTGGGCTAATGAAGACAGGCAGGGTGCAATGAGGGAAATTTTGCCAGGACAGCGGTATATCCTGCTCTGTTTCGATTTCCAACTGTGGAGGGATCTTTAACGTGCACAGCCTGTAGCACACATGGCCTCGGTTTATTGTCCCATCCGAATGACTAGACAATAAACCGAAGTTCGTGTGCTACAGACTGTTCACTTCACGATTCCAACTGTAGCCCCTTTCATAGCTCATATTTCCTGTGGTTCCTGCAATTCCATTAAAACTAAGTGTTTGATGATGTCACTAATTCCGGCTAGCAAACAAGTACTTGATATAGACAGAGGAGTCAATTGAAAGACTGATTGGAATAAAGAAGAAACAACTCTAACCAACTGAACTACAGTCCCTCCTCAGGAATAAGTCACAATCAGATTGTATGGACATACCTTTATCAAACAAGTCTTCATCTCTATAGTTAATCAACGCTTTAAAATCTTCTACAGGGGTCACTGATCCCACCTACAGAAGAGAAAAAAACAACTTAGAGGATCCTTTGTACCAGCTGGTCCTTGACCAAACCTCTTGGTATTGATCTTTCCCAGATTATCTGTACCCATTTACAGCTGGGTTGACTGAAATAATGAGGATCCTGTCTACCAGCTGGTCATTGACCAAACCACTTGGTATTGATCTTTCCTGGATTATCTGTACCCATTTACAGCTGGGTTGACTGGAATAATGAGGATCCTTTCTACCATCTGGTCCTTGTCCAAACCTCTTGGTATTGATCTTTCCCAGATAATCTGTACCCATTTACAGCTGGCTTGACTGTAATAATAAGGATCCTTTCTACCAGCTGGTCCTTGATCAAACCTCTTGGCATTGATCTTTCCTGGATCATCCATACCCATTTACAGCTGGGTTGACTGGAATAATAAGGATCCTTTCTACCAGCTGGTCCTTGACCAAACCTCTTGGTATTGATCTTTACTAGATAATCTGTACCCATTTACAGCTGGGTTGACTGGAATAATGAGGATCCTTTCTACCAGCTGGTCCTTGACCAAATCTCTTGGTATTGATCTTTCCTAGATTATCTGTACCAATTTACAGCTGGGTTGAGCAGAATAATGAGGAAAGATGGTCACCTGACTTTCACACGCCAGTACCCATGACTACCAATTGAATATATTCGATGATACCAAGCAAATGACATCAAGAAAAATATCTAGCACTCTAACCAATTGGGCTACAACTCTTTCTCAAAATTAAAAAGCCTTGTTTTAAAACCAGACGAATTCTTCATGAAGAGCTTGAAGCACGTGGGGCCTTGATTTATTGTCTTATCCAAACAACAAGCAGTTTTTATCATGCCAGCCTCTCGGACCTGCATTACTGACAGAGGGAAACCCATGCTGGGGATCTCTGCTTTATGAGAATCAACCAATCAAAAGAGTTCACCTCTGTAATCTTTGCTCTGCCAATATTTTCTAAACCACCTTCGAAATCATCATCAATTTTAACTTTCTTAGCTGCTGGACCATCTTCTTCTCTGAAACATCAAAAAGGTGTGGTCTTGGTCGCTGATTTTTTCGCTGACTCGAATCTCGAGTTAAATCTCGTGTGTGCCCGTGCTTCCACGACAAGATTATCGCCTCTCCGACAGGATTTATAATATCAAACAAGTTTGATAATTGTCTCTGATAGTTTTATCTTCTGTAAGACAGACCTTCATCATCCAATCAGAATCATTTTCCTTTCAATTGCGTGATCCTCATGTGATTATCGACAAGGTGGAAAAAACCGACTGGAGATTTTTGTCTCCTCATGTGTCTGTACCAGTCGTTGAAGCTCAAGACAAGACAAAAACCAGTTTAGGTTTAAAAAAAGTGTGCACTATATTTACAAATATACAGTATCCAGTACTTCATAAGTAAATCAAGACTCCTCTGTAAATATCTACATTTTGCTACCATGTTTCACTGTGACTAGTTTGTTTCATACTGGGATCAAGAAATAAATATTCATAAGTATATGGGCAACAATTCTTGCTAAGAGTATAGTTTTGATTGTTATCAAGAACTGCTTCAGTGAACCACGGTATTTGCAATTTCAATTGATATGGTAATGTGCAGATTGGTTTTCTAAATTTTGTATATGCATCAATTTGATTTATTTCAATTTTCAATCAGGCGTCTGTGGTTCCTGCAATTCCACTGAAACTAAGTGTTCGAAGGGAGGTTTTCTAAATTTTTTATGTGTATCAGGGACACTGATAGCATCGATTTGCATTATTCCAATTTTCAATCAGACGTCTGTGGTTCCTGCAATTCCACTAATTGCGAAGATTCTGATGGAACACAGACGTCTGATTGAAAATTGCGATGGTGCAAATCGATGCTATCAGTGTCCCTGATACACATGAAAAATTTAGAAATATCTCTGAATGTGTCAATTATGTCAAGGTATTGATGGTGATATACATACTTGTCTTTAAACATTGCATCTCCCGATTTTTCATCCTTTTTCTTGGCCACGATTTCCAGTTTGAATAGATCTTTGATTTCTTCTAATGGCTTCATAATTTTACACTCAACTTCTTCTGGACGTTTAAAATACGAGGCTATCAAGGGAGATAACTCCGGTAAGGGGTCATTTGGTTTCAAGGCCTTGCTCAGCAAGCACTGGAAAAATTAAGATGGCAGTTCAAAACACGACTTTTCACCAAGCGTGAAGTTGATTTATCGTCGCTGGGGATTTATAATTTCATAATCGATTATATGTCAAAGGTACATTTTCTTCACTGTACCTGTTAACAAGTAGTAATCTCTTCTACATAGTTTCCCTTCAACACATAACATACCCACAATAAACTATAATAACTGATCAAAACAAGAATATACTTCTATAACACAAAAATAACCCATGAAATTAAGAATTTTGTCATGTTTTTAATTTAGTATTTACAGCCTACCTGGTATGTTCGTTGAAAATAAGGGTTAAAGGTTAACTTTGGTTTTAAAACTTCTGCACTGTCTTCATCTCTATATAAAATACAAAGTGTGGATACTTGACAGCGAGCAATTGGGGAAATATATCAGAAGTAAGTCAACAAACTAATTTGAGTAATTTGACAGAGAGCTATTGGGGAAAGGAAACGTTATTAAATACACAGATGGAAAAAATATGAAATAGCTTAGAGCTAACCTCAGTCTACTTTCCAACTTTCGCTTTTATAGCTTCTAATAAAGCCACTTCAGTTAGAGTCTAATGACTGTCCTTTTGAACATTCATCAAATTAACCTTTGGTGGGTGTATGTGGCTGTGGTTCACTATCTTTATTTTTGATATAGCCACTTCAGAGTAGGCTCTAACGACAGCCCTCTTGAACATTCAGCAAATTAACCTTTTGACCTAACCTGATAATGTTTGCTTTAACCAATCAAACTTACGCCTTCTCCAGTGTTGGAGGTTTGTGACGTGATAAAAAGGTGTATTTTCAGGAGCAATAGACTAGTTTATCAAGTCCACTGAAAGTGAAAATAGAAAACAAGCCTTTTCATTGGTTGTTCTGAATTGACCCATTAGAAATTGATTGGTTAAAGCAAAAATTATCAAGTTAGGTCAAAAGGTTAATTTGCTGAATGTTCAAGAGGGCTGTCTTTAGACCCTACTCTGAAATGGCTATATCAAAAATGAAGATAGTGGACTACAGCCACTTACGCCCACCACGGCATGCGGATGGTAAAAACGAAACATCCATTTTAAGTTTTATCAAAATTGGTTGAAAACTAAGAGAGTAATAGCATATTCAAGATTTTGGGACAAGGGCAATAACTCTGCTTCTAATGGTCGAAAATAGCTCAAATTCGAACCTGATCTTGACGGACCGATGGACCAATGGATCGATGGACAGGGGCGACGGTTAATACGTCCACATTTCAATGTGGGCGTATAAAAACTAATAAAAAAACACGAAAGGAAAGTTGGGTCTAATATTAATAAGTTTGAGCTAACCTACCCCTCTTTCTTGGAGAGATCCATATTGGTGATTAAATCATCCATAACTTTTAACTGATCAGCTGTAACATAAAATAATCTTAAATTACTATCTTAACCTATGCTGTAACCTATGCTGTAACCTATGCTGTAACCTATGCTCTATGCCTTTGCTCACTTCATCCCGATTTTCCTCTATCAGTGATGGGGGAGCCGCGGTGGCTCAGTGAGTTAGACGCTTGCTCGCTTACTTAAAGGTTCAGGGTTCAATCCCGGCATAGGTCGAGATAATACCTTCGGATTTTTCAACCCGGTTTCCCCCTGTCAGTGATGTAGGTAAGAGGGGCTGACATGGAAAAAGCGTCTAGTCGTTTGGATGGGACAATAAACCGAGGCCCTGTGTGCTACAGACTGTGCACGTTAAAGATCCCTCGACAGTAGGAAATCGAAAAAGAGCAGGCTAATGCCGCTGTCCTGGCAAAATTTCCCTCATTGCACCCTGCATGGCGTTGCCTGTCTTCATCAGCCCAATTCAGAAAGTAACGTAAATTCATTTCATTTCATTTCTCTGTCAGTGACGCATATGCAGAATTGCAAGAACCACAGCCATCTTTTTGAATTGGACTGGTTCAAATTGATTTTTTTTTTGGATTTTAGAAAACCTCTTAACACTTACCTGAAGGTTTGAATTTTTTATTGGTTTGTACATCATCTGTGACTGGTAGAGAGCCAAACGTAAACTGTCGCAGATCTTCCATAAAGGGGAGCTCAATCCAATATAAGCACTGCAGAGACAGAAAGATTTTGATAAACTAATAATAAGGAGGACAGGCTGTAGCTGATTTGGTTAGAATGTTGGAATCTTTAAATGACATCATTTGCTTGGTTATGATGGGTTCTAATCTTGGTTGCGGTGCGAAAGTTTGTGACCTTTAATGAATCACTACATAGTTTCCTTTCAGCACATAACATACCCACAATAAACTATAATAACTGATCAAAACAAGAATATACTTCTATGACACAAAAATAACCCATGAAATTAAGAATTTTGTCATGTTTTTAATTTAAGGGATTGTGAAGAGGTTTTTCTAAATTTTTTATGTGTATCAGGGACACTGATAGCATCAATTTACATCATTCTAATTTTCAATCAGACGTCTGTGGTTCCTGCAATACCACTAAAACTAAGTGTTTGATGCCATTTAACGTGAAGGGCTTTATGTGATTAGTGACATCATCAAACACTTAGTTTTAGAGGAATTGCAGGAACCACAGACTTCTGATTGAAAATTGGAATGGTGGAAATTGATGCTATCAGTGTCCCTGATACACATTAAAAATTTAGAAAAACTCTTTACAATCCCTTTAATAAACCTACCTCATAATCTGTTTTAATAACTGGAAGTAAACAACCCAATCTCGGTGCAGAATTAGCAGCATAGACTCTTCTAGCAACCATAACTGAGTCTGTTTCATATAGAGCATTTATCAGAGCTGATAGAGCTACAGCTGCAGCCTGGAATAGAATCAGTGTCATATAGAGCATTTATCAGAGCTGATAGAGCTACAGCTGCAGCCTGGAATAGAATCAGTATCATATAGAGCATTGATCAGAGCTGATAGAGCTACAGCTGCAGCCTGGAATAGAATCAGTATCATATAGAGCATTGATCAGAGCTGATAGAGCTACAGCTGCAGCCTGGAATAGAATCAGTATCATATAGAGCATTGATCAGAGCTGATAGAGCTGCAGCCTGGAATAGAATCAGTATTATATAGAGCATTGATCAGAGCTGATAGAGCTACAGCTGCAGCCTGGAATAGAATCAGTATCATATAGAGCATTGATCAGAGCTGATAGAGCTACAGCTGCAGCCTGGAATAGAATCAGTATTATATAGAGCATTGATCAGAGCTGATAGAGCTACAGCTGCAGCCTGGAATAGAATCAGTATCATATAGAGCATTGATCAGAGCTGATAGAGCTACAGCTACAGCCTGGAATAGAATCAGTATTATATAGAGCATTGATCAGAGCTGATAGAGCTACAGCTACAGCCTGGAATAGAATCGGTATTATATAGAGCATTTATCAGAGCTGATAGAGCTACAGCTGCAGCCTGGAATAGAATCAGTATTATATAGAGCATTGATCAGAGCTGATAGAGCTACAGCTGCAGCCTGGAATAGAATCGGTATTATATAGAGCATTTATCAGAGCTGATAGAGCTACAGCTGCAGCCTGGAATAGAATCAGTATTATATAGAGCATTGATCAGAGCTGATAGAGCTACAGCTGCAGCCTGGAATAGAATCAGTATTATATAGAGCATTACATGGAGACTTTAGCTTTTCTCTAGGCTAACAATGGGGTGCGTGCTTAATCAATTATACAGCATTGGTTTCTGATCATAAAATCAGGTAACCACATTTCACAAACTTCCCAA